TCCACCTCTTCCCTTGACATTTATTCTACGAGCTGCAAATACACATAATTGGGATTTATTTTTTTTCTGCTCATTGTGAGTTTTCCTGTGTGCGATTATATCTTATTGTTGTGATACACTCCAGTGCTCAGGATGACATAATTCTCTTTGGGAACCTGGCACTCCTCAGGAGCCTGCAGGCGTTGGCCTGTCACCTTGCTGTCTTCCGCCAGCGAGGTTGGGGACGTTTAACTTTTCATCTTTATTTTGTAGTCAGTAACTTTTCTGTTGCAGTTCTTTGAAACTCCTTCAAAATTGTCCATATTTGCAGGTCAGCACCGATATTTTAAGTGCGTGGTACATTTTTGTTGGACCTTCCTTTCACAGGGTAAAATGCCTCAAATCTGTGCTGCAGAACTGCTTTTTGCCTCTTTCCCCTGCCATGTCATTGTGTCACTTATTGCAGGCTTTTGCATGCTGCCCATATTATGTTTAATGCATATATAACGATGCAACTGGTATGGCCATCATGCCTCTCTTTTACAGGAGTAGTTTTAGCTTTTTTTTAAAATTTATTTTATTTTAATAACCTGCTTTTATTTGTGAAAGCTAAGCTGAAGAACCTCACCTAGTACACTCATATTTAACTTGTTGTCTACTGTAACATCTGTTATATTCAGCATTGCTCCTTCCCAGATTTCACCCTCTCACTGCATGGGTTTTTGGATCGTTTCCCTTCACTTGTCTTAGCTTGCTTTTTTTTTTTCTTTTTTTTTCCTCCCCAGAATGAATCCAATTTGATTATTTTCAGACTGCGTTTCTATTCTTTGCAAGTCCCTGTGCATTACTTCCTTGTCCCCATTATTTTTGCAGCTCCTCCAAATGAGATATTTCCTGGAGACCTAAGTTAGCATGCCGTCTAGAGTCTCTTTTGGATCATTAAGGAAAATACCAAGTGAAATAGGACCTAATACAGATCTTTGCAATATTGCACTTTCTTCCAATGTTGTCCTTTGCATTTATTGTAATTTATTTTCAGTCAGTTTTCAAATCAAGCCAGAGCATTCAAAACTGCAAATCACTATCAAATGTTTACTGAAAATCAAACACACCACATCTGCTCCTTTCCCTTCAACTCCTAGTGTTGCAGTGCTAGCCAGAAAAGGGGCCAATTTCTCGACAGTTCTGCTCTTCTGAATAGAAATCACGGTTTCATTGTCCTCAGGCTTGTAGCCTGGTTTACTTTATAGGAAGCCTCATGAATTAAAACAGCTGTGCGTCCCGTTCTGAATTTTGGTTTTGTGGAGAGCGGAGCTGGGAGGAAATAAGTGGAGTTTGTGTATGTGAGAGGGAGGAGGAGAGAAGGGGTTGCGTGTGGGGAAGGGGAGCTATTTTCGTCTGCCTGTGTAAGGTACATGACTAAGGAGTGGCAGTTAGATATATTTCCGAAAAAGCAGCCGAATCCCCAAGTCTTCTTGTATTTCTAGGCCTCGGCTTCCCATATAGTTGAGTGTTGTGTGTTGTCCTGCTTTGCTTTCCTGGGGTCTCTGAAGCTAAGTCCAAAAAATCCCAAAGAGAAGCATTAAAATTTAATTTAAGGGCACTGATACCTAAAGCCAAATCCAAGCTGGAGGCATGAGGTGGCATCAGCAGCCAGCTCCATCCTGAGCACTTCACAAAATTCCTCCTCTTCAACTGTTGGCCAGGTGTCTGCAACACACAAAACCTGTAACACTTCAGGGCTGTGGTGAAAGGACCTTTCTCACTCAAGTATAAGAGGTAAAGTGCAGTTTTGGAGAAGAAACAGGAATTGAGACAAAAATGAGAAGATGACAGGGACTGAAGGGAAGACAGTGAGAGAGTGCTTTGCCAAGAAGTCTTTCAATGGGGAACGTGAGTTATAGTCCCGGGAGATCACGCAAAAGGCATCCCATTCATGGCTTTTTGCTTTGACCTGGCCATAATAAAATCTCGAAAGTTTCTGGTGACAGTAATGCCTGCACTGCACTGGTTAGAGCAATATTTTATACCAGTGATTTAAAAGGATTGTTAGTACCCCTTTTCAGCTGGGGCAAGCGGCTGGGAGCAGGCAGAAATAAATTTAATCTATTTTTCTTAAAAGGCTCTGACGATATCACTGGGTTGCGTGCTGGCTCCTCTTCCTTTTGCTGGCATCTTCTTCCTCCCCCTGGCTTTTGCTGCCTGCACACCAGGGGGATACAAAGGGGTATGGGGCAGCCTTTTGGCCTGATGGGTGTCTGCGGTGTCGGGTCCTGGGGAGGGCAGGAGGGGGTTAGGGAGACGTAGGCTGTGTTTGTGCTGTTGGGGAAAAGTATGGTTTGGCCTGTATGTGGAAAATGTGTGCAAAGCTTGGGGAAGACAGGTAAGGGGGTGTTTGTTTAGTGGGTATTTTTATTTATTATTGTTATTTATTGCTAGAAGTACAGCTTGAGCAATTAATACAAATAGTGCTATTGAGGCTTCTGAAGTAAGCTTTTAAAATGATTCCTGGTATGTTTGGTACTGTTTGTGTAAGACGTCAGAGGAACTGAATGCAGCAGGAAGCTACTGCAAGATTGTTAGGAGCTGTGTTTTGTCCTAACCTTACAAATTCTGATACGTTACCCTGGCAGCATCCGACTTCAGCTCTGTGGTGATTACAGGCAGCGCCCAGCGTTACCTCATCGCTGCCTCCCTGCGTTTTCACATTTATTCTGTGCTGCAGTTTCCACCTGGAAAATCCCTTTTGCTTTGATGACTGCACTACCCCAAGGGGGGTAAAAGAACTGTGGCCATCTCCCAGGATATATACCCACAGTCAGGGCAGAAAAACCGTCTGTCCATCTGCTGCTTCCTCCTCCTCCTTCTCCTCTCCTCACGTCCAGGCCCAAACCGAACTGTCTCCCTGCCTCATCAACAGCTCGCCTCAGTCAGTTTGGCTGAAACAGCATACTGAGTGGGTTTTGGCGAAGCCAGGGACCCCCAAAGGGTATCAGGGGTGGGCAGAGCTCCCCAGGAGCTGCTGGCCTCTGTGGAAGGGCTCTGTCATTGCCACAGGGACCAGGCCCGAGAGCAGGGCTGGGGGTGCTCGCCACCTCCCCTGCTCCCTGCGCTGGGATCTGCTTAGCCAGGAGGTTGGTTCAGCCCCCACGGAGTTACTGCTGCGATTGAATGATTTGTTTTTGCTTTCCTTCATTATTTACTACGATGATCAAAGGACCCGCTCCTTGTGATCGTAAAGGGAAGCCTTAAAATCTTATTTAAGAGCACAAATATTTTGGGCTTTGACAGATGTGCTTTGAAAATAACACAGATGTGCAGTGTCAGATTTCACTGCTGCATGCAGTGTCTTTGTTTCAAACTGTAAATTTAGCCAGTAGTGCTGGGCATGTGCTTTCCCAAAGCTTTGCCCCCTGTAACATGGAAAAACAAGTTTTGGGGTTATGGTTTTTTTTTTTTTTTTTTTTTTTTTTTTTTTTTCCCCCTTGTATTATTTTTCCTGACTTTTTCCCCTTAGAGAGTTTGAAAGGAAAATGATCTTAGCAGAGTGAGCACTCAGCCCTGCAGGACTGCAAATCTATGGGCTATTTTTAACCTAATTACCTCGAATTAAACAAAAGCTTACAATTTATTTATTATTATTTGTTTCTGGCTTGAGTTGAAGACGAGGTTAAAGGGACTTTATTTGCAGTGAGACTCCAGCTGAAGCCGTACTTCCATTGTGCCGTTTAGAAAAATGCCCGTGGCACTGCGTCCTGCTAAGGAACAGCACTTGATTTTCTGAAGCACTGCCTTTTCTGAGTTGATGGGAAGGGATATGCAGCGATAGAGCAGTTCACTCCTTTCCCATTCTCACCACTCCTCCGGATATGGTGATCGCTTTGGACTGGTGACATTTTAGATGGAGCACAGGCTCCTTACACTTGCCTGGCAGTGGCTCATTAACTGCATGTTAATTGAAACTGAAAGTTTGTCAGATGATTCAATTCAGTTACATGTTAAATGGATTCAGTGAAGTAAGCATTACTGCTGTGATGAAAATCTCTCTGGAATTGATTTGTGAACTGATTTGGAGGGATTCAACGACTTTATCAGCAGCTCTGAGAGAGGAACCTTGTGAGAGCGGGCGGAGGTAGCTGTGCTCCGAGCAAAACAAATCATACTCTTCTGTTCCCCCCTAAACTGCTTTAATTACTGCCCAGTATGTTCCCTTTCCAGGACATGTGTTAGACAAATTTGCTCTGGAAAGCTGAGAAGTGAAGAAGAAACTGGGAAGAACTGAGAGTCTGGTTTGAATTCTGTAATCTCAGTGGCTGAAAATGTTGAATTCCTTATCTCTCAGTGGATTGAGCAGTCATAAAATTTACCTAAAGTTTGACTCAAACATAAACGTATGTTAAAATAAAAATGTATCTGCTTTAAACTAACGGACAAAAAATTCAAAATTTACGTTCTTCATAACTCATCTTTTATATTGGGCCACTGCAAAAGTCCCTCTTAAGTGAGCAATTTATGTTGTATGCTGTATCTGCTTATATGCTTGGTTTCAGTGTGGAGCCAATTTTTATTGCTGAGTTATAAACCCTTTGGAAAAAAAAAAAAGGGGGCTTGTAATGGAAACGCTGACAGACCTTTAACTAGGTCAGTCTTATCTGGCTCCATTATCTTTGCTTTTGTTAAAGCATTAAATGGCTGCATATTTGTTTATCTTTCTCACAGTCCCAGAATTTTAACATGGGTATATTATTGAATTGTTCTTTCTTCAAAATGTCATGAACATTTGAGAGTTTATCCAGACTTTATGGTGATCTTTAAAAATAAATTGAATTGTTGTGTCTTATTCTGTGATTTTCTTGCTCGTACAGTACATCTTGTTTGTAGTATGTCATTACAATACTAATACAAAAGTTTGCTTTTTTTTTCCCCCCCCATCTATTATACACTATTCTTGAATTTTATTTTGTCTGTTGTGCTTCTTTTTACACAAAATGACAGTTATGTTTTTGTTTTGTCCCATTCAGATGAAAAGCCATACCACTGCAATTTTTCTGAAGAGGAAACCCCTATGGTAACATCTCAGTTGGAGGAAATTCCGAAGCTGGGAAGCCGCAACGCCAGAGAAAACGAGGCCAGTGAATCTAAGCCAGAGATTCCAGCTTTGGTGTCACTGGAGAGTGTCATCAAGGAGCCCTTTTCGAAATACCACGATCTGAAAGGTTCTGTAGACGTAAAGATGCCAGCATTTCACCACAGCCAAGGGCTTTCTTGCTCCAGTCACTTCGCTGGCTTTGTTTCGGGTGTGGGCCAGCCATCTTCAAACATGGTCATGGACTTGAAAACGTCACTTGAAGTGCAAGCTAGTCGCTCTAGAGAAAATTTGCTAGACTTACACAGGGAGCATCCTCTAATAGAAAAAGGTGCTGAAGCTCACGAGGCAGCTCCACTTGATTTGAGTGAAAAATCAACAAGGGATAATTCATGCAATAAAAATTTGAATACATCCTTGCAGGCTGCTTTAATTATCTACCCGTGTCCTTTCTGCAGTCACAAGACCTACTACCCCGAAGTCCTGTGGATGCACAAAAGAGTTTTGCACAAAATCAGCTGTAACTCAATGGTCCCCCCTTGGGTTCAACAGAATGGATTCAAGAGTATTAAAAACAACCTGGTTTTTCTGGCAAGGAGTGGGCGTACCGGCCCCCCTCCTGTTCTCGGTGGTAAGGAATGCCAGCCTTTGCCTGTTGCCAGATTTACGCGCACTCAAGTGCCAAGTGCATTACCGGGGTCCAAAAGCAGCTCTCTTCCTGTTGGGATGACTGCAAAGTCTGGGAGTACGCATCAGTCAAAGGACAGCCATGCATTCGGCCACTGTGGTCCACGCTTATCAGGTCTTGATGGGTACAGACAGCCCAAATTAAACCATTCCCAGGAGCAATACAGCATAGCAGCACAACAGCCTCCGCTGAAAAATAAATATGAAGCAAATTCCAAACTTATGCAAATGGGAGCCTATAGCAGAAGTGTAACGCCTACTCAGACGGTCATATCCAGGCCTAGCACACAGTCCAGCAACAATAAACAGGTGGAAAAGTATGTGGTTCCCCAGGGAAGTACTGGTTTTGTCCCTTCAGGTAAGCACTGTATGTCTGATTCTGTGAAGGCCAAATTCAACCCACCACCACAGTATCATCCCCTGTGCAAAAGCGAGCAGTACACTAAACACGAAGAGCCATCGGTGCCTCAGAGGGAGTCTCACATAAAGGCTGGGAACGAGATGAGGACATTGGCAAACTGCACAGCCGTGGCACGAGCAAGTCCTCTGATGCAGCCTCAGCCCAGCGCAGCAGGAATTTCTTCGGCTTTACACTCCAGCAAACAGGATCCAGGATCAGATGGGCATGAGAAACGTTTGGACATCTTAAATATCTTTAAAACATACATTCCAAAGGACCTCGCTTCGTTGTACCAAACCTGTGGTGCCAATAGCCCTGTCCTGGATCACACAGGTAAGATTTCATGAGCCCTTCCACAGCTGGGGATGTGGCTTGCTTGCTCCTTCATTTTGAGCCACAGCACGTTGTTTTGCAGCTTCCTCCTTCTCCTTTTAGCTGTTGGGATTATAAATTCATTGTTCTATCATTTCTGGTTAGGCTTGAATAGACTTGTTTACCGATCTTTAACATTGTAGCATCCCCCCTCATGCACTGTGTGACATTTCTGTCACAGGTTAAATGTAGTTGGTTCCACCTGGAGTATTCCTGTTGCTTCGTCCCCTCCCTTCAAGCAGGCTAGAGTTACACAGATGTGCTGTCACACTATGATCCCACTGATATGCCGGTGCTGGCAAACATCATAATCTTTTTGCTTCGGGCAGAATAAACATCCTCTGGGGCTTATCTGTGATGTTATTTTGGAGGTTTTGTTCAATTTTGTCTGCAAACAAGTCTTCCAACAACAGAGAGGTAATCACTTGTCAGTGTCCTTTGTCTTTCTTCACAGAAGTCTTAAGATCTCCTTGTCCATATCAAAAAATACTATAGTATTTTTCAAATGATTCTTTTGATCTATTTGTATGTTTATATTTAAAAAGAGGTATAGCTGAACATGTGCCTGCTAATTCACATAAGCTGGAAAGGCTGCTGTTCAAATAACCATTTGTAAAGTTTAGGGACTAAAAAAGTACTGCCACATTTAAAAAAAAAAAAGGGGGGGGGGGGGGAGAGAAGAAACCTGTGCATTTGCATTTGAAACCATACTCTTCTGACTATCTGCCAAAATTAGTTTGCCTCAGTGGAAATTGAAAAATCACACTGATTTATTACTCTTGAGGTGGGTGTGTGGGGGTGGAGAACAGGAACCACAGTCCCTGCTTTTGCCTTTTGTAAATCATCCCATTTTTTAAGCACTTCTGTTAGTAGAAGCTGTGCAAGAACTGACTTTCACATACAAAAAGTACTTGTTTCTCACCTTTACTCCTAGAACTGGAAATGGCTAGTATGCTCACCTGACATAATGCTCTCTATTTCATCAAATAAGTGTGTGAAATGGAGCCTGTGACCCCACTTTGTAAGGGGGATGACAGGACGTTCAGAAGCTAACAGCTGAAGTTGTGGTCTAGGTCCCAGAAGGTGTATGCAAGTCGATTGCTCTGGCAGCTGTGAGGCATGAAAGGAGCCATGATGTTCAATCAGGTCTTTGTGGAAGGTCTTTTGGAGAAGACAGAGGCAAAATCTGTCTGAAATAGCCCATGAGGTGTACCTTTCAGCCACCCTGTTGCACTGGTAATCAGGTAAACAGTACTGCTGCGTAAGAGATGACTTTTATTGCTATTGAACAGATCATTCAGCAGGTGGTTAGAGGCCATGTAATTATTGTAACTATCATGAAGCTTTTGGGTTTTGTTAAGGAAGCAGAGGACTTTCTCGGTTGCTAGATACGTAGGGTCAGTGTTCCTGTTCTTGGGTACAGACTGCAGCTGACTTCCCTTTGCCATCACAGGGTGCAGGAATGTTGTCTTCCTGCTCTAAATACTCAATTATTCTACCATCAACTTGGGGTACCTTAATGTGGGTGAACTCCCTGATGTTACTTACGATCCTAACATGTCAACCTGCTCAGTGAAATCTTACTGATCCAGTGAGCTCCTAGCCTTGTTAAGAGGAATAGAGAGAAACATTAACAGCCACGAACTGGAAGCTGACTCAAGTGAACGCAGACAGCAGAAAAGCCACGTGGAACACTAGGGCAGGATTTACAAAGAGGTCTCCATTTACCTCTTTTTTTTTTTTTTTTTTTTTTTTTTTTTTTAAGAGGGATTTTATTGCCAAAATGTTTTTTCTGGGCAGTGATTTCCAGAGACACTTTAACTGGAAGTTATTTAGTGCCTATCTCTGCTTTGAAATCTCTTCTTTTATTCTAAGTGTTTTATAGCAATCAAGTTTTCAGAACTTTAAACTTTTTTTTTTTTTTTTTTTTTAATGTAGCTTGTCTTCATTTTATATACAACTTCCAGGTTGTTGATGGTTCTTCGAACCAATTGGCATGATGGCTGTTTTTCATAGCACTAAAATAAAAAGCTGCTGCAGGCAAAAGGAACAAGATCCTACCAACTGCAAATAGAGGAAGCTAAATGAACCTTGTCTGAAATAACACATGGTCCTAGACTGAGCCCTCTGTCAGTATGCATCATACAATTAAGTCTTCATATGGCAAAGTGAATAGGGCAATCATGACATAAACGACAACCAGAAATCCTACTTAGATATGCTATTTGTCACATGCTTTGTCCCACTTGAATGTTCCTGATAAACTTTACTAGGGTGTTTGGTGCTAATCTACCCACATCTTGGATGATATTAGAACATTTTAGTGCGTGGTTGTGCAGGGTATAACTTCCTTTATATTGTCTGGGTTTATATCTGGGATCCTTCTTTTTACATTTGTGTTTATTCCAGCATGCCCTTGGAAAGTTGTACGTGCTGTTGTGATGCAGCTGCAAACACAAAGCTTTCTGCACTTAGGCTAGGTTTGTTTCACACTGCCCAAACTTCCCAAATGCTTGCAGGGAAAATCTCATTGTTAGACATAATAGTTATTTATTTTGCTCATGGTATTTATATGAATTGCAGTATTAGGAAAGGATGGGTTATGGTAGCAGATGCACTCTTTTCCTGGGGCTCCTTTGAGGCCAACTTCGAGTCTTGTTTTCACAAGAGCCCCCATTCAGGTGGTCACCTCCAGCTGCCTAGATTTGCCAGCACCTGCAGTCATCCACCCTCTTTTGTTCACCCCATTGTGTTCTGAGTGATGGCTCAGGGGGGCATTACCTTGCAACAGCAACGCCCATAGCACAAAGCCTTCAAATCAAAATCAAAAGCCTTACAGGCTCCTTCAAAAATACAACAATGGCAAATGTACCTGGAAGCTATCCACTTTCTTCCACATATTTTTTTTAAACAACTGCCATAACATCAGTGCCAGGGATGGGTTGGATGAAAGTGCTAACCCATTCTCCTTGGCATTTGTATGCTTTTAGCTTACCACAGTGATTCTCAGCCTTCCCTCCTCAAAGCACAAGATGTGGGTGGGAACAACGCTTCCACAGAGGCCATGAGATCAGGCCTACAATGACTGCTGGGACAACTTTGGGGCTTGGTTCAGAGCCTGCTATTAATGCAAGTGTCTCTAGGGCCTGGCTTGAGGCTTCCCCATCTCCATGGTGCTCCTGGTGCTGAGGTGAGCAGGTTCCATGGCTGGAGGATGAAGGTCCTGTGATTCTGAGCTGTGCTCGCTAGGGCATATGAGCAGCATGTGTGGATGGAGCAGGAAATAAGCCTCACTATATCTGAAGGCCTCTGGGCTCTTGTGGTGGTTGTTCATGTTGTAAACAACAGGATAGGATGGTTCTGGCTGTCTTTGGTAGCAGAAAAGCCATTTCCTGCTTCCCAGAGTGCATAGCATCACAAAAAAAAAAAAAAAAAAATGAGTGTATTGGTTGATAGTCAGATGAATATGAGCCAGCAATGTGCTAAGGTGACCAAGAAGGCCAACGGCATCCTGGCTCGTATAAGAAGCAGTGTGGCCAGCAGGGCTAGGGAAGTGATCGTCCCCCTGTACTCAGGCTCTGGTGAGGCCGCACCTCGAGTACTGTGTTCAGTTTTGGGCCCCTCACTACAAGAAGGACATCGAGGTGCTCAAGCAAGTCCAAAGAAGGGCGACGAAGCTGGTGAGGGTGCCTGGAGAACAAGTCCTACGAGGAGCGGCTGAGGGAGCTGGGCTTGTTCAGCCTGGAGAAGAGGAGGCTCAGGGGCGACCTTATCGCTCTCTACAGGTACCTTAAAGGAGGCTGTAGCGAGGTGGGGGTTGGTCTATTCTCCCATGTGCCTGGTGACAGGATGAGGGGGAGTGGGCTAAAGTTGCACCAGGGGTGTTTTAGGTTGGATATTAGGAAAAACTTCTTTGCCAAAAGGGTTGTGAGGCATTGGAATGGGCTGCCCAGGGAAGTGGTGGAATCACCATCCGTGGAGGTCTTGAAAAGACATTTAGATGTAGAGCTCAGTGATACGGTTTAGTGGAGGACTGGTTAGTGTTAGGTAAGAGGTTGGACTAGGTGATTGTGGAGGTCTCTTCCAACTGTCTGTGATTCTGAGGCCTGGGGTATGAAGGGGTTCAGGGCTTCCCCTGGGCCTGGGCTCTACTGGCAGCCTCCTGGCCTCTCCTGGCAGCAGAGCCCGGGCTGTCTCTACAGGCCGCTGCTTGGGGCAGCAAGCCAGCAAGGGCTGCTTCTGGTCCTTCCGTGCACTTCGTTTAGCTTTGGTCTCGAGCTTGAAGCTGTAGCTCTGGCCAGTGGAGGGGAAATGTTGGTAACATACGAGGAAATCCGCTTTAACCTTTGCTCCCACACGAGGCTAATCTGTCTCATTACTGTGAAACTCTCATTGAACTTGATGTGCTTGTGTGTGTGTGTGCATGATCTGGATTTGGCCCTAAATCACGATCTTGTATTTGAGTGCCAGGAACTTGTTGGAGATGAATGTTCAGTTATATAATATAGGCTGTGCTGCCATCTACAGGAGGTGCTGTTATGAAATGAGAAATCAGCTGTAGGTTTTTTTTTTTTTTTTTTTAGCCAGACTTTTCTTCGCAGTCTATATTGTGGTAAAAATCATCATAGGACACTTGGTGCCATACAAGCAGAGCAAGTGGTAGCCCATCTCATTTTCCATTCCCTTTGAGGTACAGATGTCTGTATTTTGGACGAGCCCTCTGGCATGCTGCCCTTGATTTTCAATATTTTTTTTTCTTGACACTTTTTTGCTCTCAATTTTATTCATTTAAAATGCTATAATGGGAGAAAAAAAAAAAAAAGATCGAAAAGCTGAAACTTCACTTCCGCTGACAACCCCCTGAGAATTTCTTTAAAAGCCAAAGTACTCCAGTGGCAAATGAAAACATCAACTCTTCCCTTCTGAGGAGGGTGTTTTACCAAAATAGAAAAGATGATGTTCAGCCATATTATTTTTTTTTTAAAAAAAGCCCAATAAAAGTCAAATGTGTCTTTTTTGATCAGCAGCAAAAAGACAAAGACCAGCCCTTTAAGTCAGATACTGTAAACTGACCTTTGGAGAAAAAGGAGAGGTTTGAGCGGTTTTCCACAAATGCTAATGGCCTAGAAAACATGTTTACCAAGGGCTGGAGGAAGGCTGCTGTGCCGCGACTAGCTCAAAATGTCCGGAATGACACTTTCATTCACAGATGTCTTTCGTCTGTGCCTCCGAGCTCCGGGGTCAAAGCAGCACCGGCAGGCAGGTAGGCAGGGGCTAAAGGTTTGATCAGTTTGTGATGGCTCCACTCACTCTGCATTTGTCTCTGAGGTATTGCCGCCCGGGGGGGACAGTCGGGCTCTGGTCCTACTCACTTCCTATTATCCATGTGACTTGTCTCCGCCACGCTGGAGTCACTTTGATTTGCCTGATGTACTGCTTGACAAAGCTGGGTGATGGCTGAAAAGTGGATCCAGCTGCTCTGAAAAGCGCACACCTGACATGCCAGTCCTGGTGCGGGCACATCATGGGGAGCATTTTTTAATTCAATGTAATTTATGCATTCTTGCAGTCCTGTGTGTGCCTGGCCTGTCAGCCAGTGCCTAGATGAAGGCTGACAGTTGTCATCCAGGGCCTGAAGGTAGCCTCACATAATGACACATTAGACATACTAATGATGTTTTCTTCTGGCATAATGTTTTCTTCTCAACTTTCCTCTCTCCTCTCCCCACCACCCCCTCCCTTCCTCCCTCTCTCCCTCCCTTCCTCCCTATCAACTACAGGGATGCTTAGGACACAAACACGCCAAGGAGACTGCGTCTGCAGGGAATGTGGAAAATGCTTTAACCAACCCAGTCACCTCAGGACTCATCAGAGGTCCCACACAGGTATATTTTCACACTTGCTCTTGCTTTCTCCCTTTCCTGTTTGCCTTCTTTCAGATCCAGCTGACAAAATGCCAAGAATTACGTTTCACGTACCACGTTAACCTCAGTAATTCCAATACCTAAATCTAATACGCAGGTTTTTTATTTTTACGACTATTGCTCTTGTTCTCCGGATATTGCTTACCTGATCCCCACCCGAACTCCATAAAATTGCAATGCATTTAAGATAAGACTGTTTGCAAATGTTTTATTTTAATTAGAGAGTAGGGTACTCAGAAATGAATATGCTAATGAATTCTGTTGCCACCAGCACAAATTGAAATCAAAGTACCCCTTTCAGCAGAACATAAGGCTTTGTTTTGCCTCATCATTGCTGTTGACAGGACCGTTTTTGCAGGAAACGAGATTTTCCTCAGACCGGTCGGTCAGTCCTAAAATCAGAAATCCCTACCAGCCGTTTTTAACCTGGCACAGTCTGTTGTTGAGACTGGGGGAGGCGAAAGCCACCAGTGTCGTTACCTCCTGAGCATTGCACGAGACAGTGAGACTAGCGGGCTCTTTCTGAGAAGTGTGAATGATGCATACATAAGCCAGTCTGATGCAAAATGACAGAGGCCAAATGGTAAGTAATGCAAGAAGAGGGTCCCTTTACACATAGACTGATAATTAATGTTGTCAGTGATTGCTTTCTTCAGCGCTGAAGTCTGAATTAAAAAGGGCAGTGGCCCTAGGCTGCCATTAGCACACTCTCTTACAGTAAGTGTTACGGTAAATTGGTATTTTCCGGCCACAGGCTAGTAGCTGGTGTCTTTTTTTGAACGTGGTTAATCTGTAATGGTCTCAAATAATGTACACACACTAACGAAGCTTGAATGTTCATCTGTTAACAAGCCCCCTTGTTCCCACAGTGGTGTTTGAGTCTAATGGACTCCGAGGTACTGAAGTTCACACCACCTCCGCAGATGCCCCAAAACAAGTATGTTTTACAATTAATTGGATGTTTGGTTTTTAATGTGGTAGCTGGGGATACGTTGCACAGTGATACTTATCAGTAAAGTACTGACTGTTTTACAACATGTATAAATAATAATGGTGTTGCTTGATATTTAGCTCTTAAATTTTTTAAGCATTTTATCAAAGTCTGTTATATAGAGAGTCAGTTAATTGTAGACCAGGTAGTTAGTGTTTAATTAAACATGTTACTGACTTACTGGGGAGTGGGTGGGATAGATAACGCTAATGCACAATGATATGTAGTAGTGAGACAGGATTTAAAGAATTCCTACAAATAGTTTGCTTTTACAACTAATACATTTTCTGCTGCAGCAATGCAATTAATGCTTAAGTCTGTATTTTTCTGAAGAGTCTTTATACCATAATATCCAGTATCTAGTCTCTGAAAGGCTCATCTTCCAGTTCCTGTGGACTTTGCAAGTTACTGCACTTTCCTCTTTCTTCACTAGTGTTTCCTGTCTTAACAAACATTTCTCAGCACGCTGAATTATACATGGCATAGCTCTTATGTAGAAAACCATTAAACTGAAATTTCATATATCCTGCGTCTTTGGAGACCACTGTCACACCTAGGAAGGTGGACCTTCCTACTCCATCTTCAAGCTTGGCAGGTGGGTTTCAGGGCATATCTTCTCATGGGCAATTTTCTTTCATATCGGAGTTGCCTCCAGCATAATTCACTCCTGCTTTCATCCACATTTTTAGTATAATTTTTACCACAAAGAAGTTCTACATACTGCCCTCCCATATCTTACTAAGCAATTGCAGATATTTTTTTCTGTGCTTAAAGAATGCAGCTCAATATCAGTCCCACCTTCATAAAGTTTAGGAACCTTTTCTACTTATTCAATAAGCATCCTCACCGTGTTGCTTAGTTCATGTGCTGCACCCTTTGTGGAGACCCTTGGCATCTTCTCTGTTGTGCTTGCTTCTTTTTGCCCTGGAGGCTACTCTGGGAATTCATCCCCTGCCGCAGGGATTATCTGACCTGCCATTAGGCTGTAGGAGTGGCCAAAAACTCTCCTCATAAAGTTTTCAAGATGACATAGCACTTCATGTTGTTCTGGGTGGTATTTCTTTTGTTTTTATGGGACAGTAGCAGCAAAATTCTGCTCTAGCGGGAGAACTAGATGAAAAATGCTCTCTTTGATGTTTACCTAACCAAATTGTGCAAGGACATCCCTCTTAGGAAAAGTATATGCCAGGGAGATAAGCTGCAGCTCTGCGAACTAGCTCAACTATTCTTTGTTTCTCATCCTTTTAATGATCTAGATTTAATAAACCTAAGCACCTTGAAAACGCTCTTTCATCTTTTCATGCTCACAGTTTATCTCATATGTAGTTGAAATTGAATTGTGAAAGCAGTGTTTTGTTTTGTTTTTCTTTTTGGTTGGTTGTTTTTTTTTTGTTTTGTTTTGTTTTTCTCTAAAAGGCAATGTAAGGTCAAAGTTGGAAATACAGTTCCGAAAACTTCTGAAGTGGTCATTTCTACCCAAAAAGAACTGTGGCAGCTCATCTGGACTCTTTTTGTAATTTGGGTTGTATTACTGCACAATAAATTTACTCATAATCTTGTCTTTGTAAACTACTGCCACACCACAATTTATTGACTAACTTCTTCCACAGCAAATGTAGTTTGCTGTTGCAGACAACAGTCCATGTCAATCTGTCTTCAAAGTATTTGATTAAATTACAGCATCTTTCAATACAGCAGAATACCGGGTAGAGGTTAGGCTCATGAATCGTTTTGTCTCTTCCCAATCAGTATTTCTCCCACAGAGGCTGTAGCATGATCACTTTTCCAGGAGATATCTTCCTTTCTTTTGTCTTATTTGTTCTTCAGTATCAGCCTGTGTCTCAGTTTGTCGGTGTCTGTGTCAGTTAGGATTACTCAGTTGTCTGCTGTTTTCCTTGTTCTCATCGCAAGCAGGCTTTGCACTCCCCCAGAAACCTCCACCTGCACAGTCCCTGGGTTTTAGCAAGGGAATACGTTCATTTCTACCTGCAGCTGCAGGGACCTTTAGAAGCACAGAGAGTAGCTCTCGCACCAAGAACAATGCCTGCAGCGCTCTGGAAACATTACTATTTCCCACTTTAAACATTGTCACTCTGTGTCTTCATTTCATTTTAATTGGGGACAGATCTGTTCTTGAGAGTTTACAGTGCAAAGTCAGTTCAAGTTACAGAAGTGCCATGCACATGCTCCAAGCGAGAAACAATAGTTAGCACGTACAGTAGCTTTAGAATGATTTTTTTTTTTTTAATGTTAAGTGGAAACGATTCACTTTACATAATGTTTCCTCCTCACAGGTGAAATATCTTCCCTGGAGTAGTCAGCTAAAGAGTGAAAATATTAACGTTAGTATTTCGCAGTTCCCCCATTCCCTTCAGTAGTCATGGAAGATCATCTCTAAAGGTTTCCTTTATAAAAGAAGGTTACGTAGGGCTTTTAAAATTCCCCAGCATAGTAGCTTACAATGGTGCTGCATTATATAGCAGTTTTCTCACAGAATAATTTTAATTCCGCATGTTAAAAATAGGGTCTGCAGCCAGGCTTTTTCAAAAATGAGCCAGCTAAATCTATATTTAGGTGTCCAAATAGGAAACCTACTTTAGGGTAATGAACTGCTAACAGGAGATGCAGGTGTGCAGCAGCACTGCAAAGTAGGCCACCTATAGGGGTGTGTAAAGAATTCCATACACACCCCATTTTGATAATATTAGCATTAAGCTACATTTCATGCTTTGGCATTAGCACCAATGAAATAAATACCTTATTTCCTACGTTTTGTTTATACTTCTTTCTTAACACTATTTGCTGTGTTCTTTTCTACCTGAATGCTTAAAAAAATCCATCAAATGAATTTCTCTTGAACTCTAGAATATTTCTTAGTCTTCTTTATCTAAAGGTCAAAAAATGCTTATTATATACCCCAAGTCAATACAATCTGTGCAAAGTCATGCAGATTCTCTTGAAATGCTGCCATATTAAACATACTGAATATTCTGAATATTCTTATAAATGCTAAATATCCCAATATATCCATAATTAAGCTTGCTTATCCACGATGAATATGTATCTTAATTTGGAATACACGAAGCAGCATCCAAAGACCTGATTTAGTAAGCATGAATTCCGGGAGCACACTCCAGTCGCTTGTACATAGCAAGACAAAAGCTGGCTCCCTCTCTGAAGGGCCCCTGCACCAGTGTGAATCTCAAAGGGGCTGCAGTTCTTGAAGCAAAGCTTTCCTAAACCTTGGGGTCATTTCAGAGGAACTGCCTGATTCTGTGATGTTGCAGCCAGTAGCCCAATTCCCAAGTGCACTCAGTGGCAGAAGAATTGGTCTGTAGCCTGCTCATGCAAAATGGTGACAGCACTGGTGGCAGTTTCTAATGCCTATGCCTCATATTTAACCTCACCTATTGTATTTTTAAAAACATAAAAACGTGGCCCACTTTAGAAATATCATTTATCAGTGACATGTCAAAAAATATGCTCTAAAAATTTTAAAGGACAAGTAATTGAATTTTTCGAAGGCATAATTTACTGGTTAGCACCAAGAGTTCTGTCTAATTAAGAGCCTATATATATATACGTATGTGAAGCATATTTACAGGGCTGGAGCCAAAGACATTCTAGTACATCTGTACATCTGTAGTTCTCTCTACAGATTTACTTTTCATTCAAGAGAAGCAAGCAAAACCCCCCAAAACTCAAACCATTGCCCTCTGCAAAAAAACATCCTTTTACTCATAGAAAATCAAGAAAAAGCTACCCGCTAGGGAAAAAAAGTAAACAGTTCGTATCATGGGTATTTCTGGCTGAAGCTTTTCACATGCCAGAAGGCAGTGGCTCTCCTTTTCTGTGAAAGAACTACAGACACTACAGTTTTGGAACGTCATTCTCAGAAAAGAGAGGTATGCAGCAGATTGTGAATCACAGGAGCATAACACCTTCATTGAGGAGTCCATGAGCTTTAGCTTTCTGCACTATGACTGTTTAAAAACATTTCTTTTAGTACTCAATCTTGAGATAATGATGTGAGTAATCAGAATTTGGATGATAGACTGGAAGAAACCATCAAGAAAAAAAAATCTGTGCTGCAAAGGGACCTGGGATCCCTTTGCTGGGGACACGTTACCTCCAGTGTGTTTCTAGTCCAGCTACAGTACAGCCCTGCCTGTAAAAAGGGAGAAAGGGAGAAGCAAAAAAGAAAAAAAAAAGTTATTTAAGCCATTGGCTCGGTGTTTTTATTTGGATCTGAAATTTTGGCACTGTCTGTTAGAAGTCCTATTTATGACATTTGTTCATATGAAATGTCTTGTCCCAGTTCCTTGCAGAGTTTCTTCTAAAGATCATGATTAATAGTTCAGTCCTCATTATTGCAAATGTTATTTTTAAATAGTTATTCTGAGAACAAGAATTCCATTAATCAAAATAATAGATAATGAACAAATAAATGGCAACCTAATTTGTCTCGTTCATACATATGGAGATTATAATGCAAACAATCAAGGAATCATGGAGGCTGCTGTACTGGAATCTGAGTAATATGCGTGTGTTAGCTATCCATCAGTTTCAGAGCATTATAGACAGGATTAGCAGCTGTAGGTCTTGTCCCTGCATTTTCCCCTTGCCAGCAAACTGGAAAGGTGTCCATGCTCCAAACTGATTATTGCAATTTATTTCAATGGCATGTCATGTGATCAGCTGTCTCCAATATATTAAAATGTGCACAGACTAATTTTTCTTTTTTCTAGTTAACTGGTGTGACGCCCTAGAATTCAAAATGAAAACAGCTTTTGGCATGGAAGCTATAGGTTTCATCTACCAAAAAGTTTTTTTTTTTATTTTTTTTTTTCCCTCTCTAAAATTCTGGAAGTGAAGAAAGCTTACTTTTTAAAATCAGTTCAAAAACTGATGTGCATGCTAGCATATCAAAGAACCAAAGATTTAGCGGTAGTGTTTGATCTGCTGGAAAACCCGCCCTTGGTCCCACTGTGAAAGGGGAAAACGGGGAGGAAACCTTTATTTCCTTGGATGCCTACAGGGTGAGCCACTGGGTAGACTTCTGCAGACATAAAGCCTCCTGCCCAGGGAAACATCCTTTGCTTCCACCCACCTGCAGCCTCCTCCGCTTTGGGGAGGCCATTTCTGGAAGGCTTTCTTTGTCCTCCTTTCGCTGGTATTCTCCAGGCAGAAACCACACACTTGCATTTGCTAACTCTGTATTTCAACCAAGCGCTGAAGACTTCATCTCTCCCTCTCACTAGCGCCACTGCAGGAAAAGCTGCCTCCCTGTGGAGGAGGAGGACTTCTCCGATGCCAAGATGGCCAACGGGGGAGATCCCCAGTCCCAGCCCCCTTTATGGATCCCTGTTGTGTGGAAAGAAGAAAAATCTTCCCTTTTACATGCCCCTGATGCTGTATGGTCTGTGGATGGGTGGTGCCCGGACCCACAGGGCAAGCCACTGCTACCAGCACCCCACAGGATAGCTGTCCCAAAGAGCTCCCTGAATTACCCCTTTTTTTTGGGTCTTACCCAGGGAAACTAGGGCATGACGCCCGCCCCCCCTCCTCTCCACCCCCGGCTGGGAGGAAGCCTGCCGTGCTCCCCCGTGTACGGGGAGCTGGTTCGATACGAGATGTTTTAATGATGAATGCCTCCTCTCGGAATTGTGGCTCTGTCTCTCAGGCATGATGTAGCCGTGCAAAAATGTAAAGCATCTTTCTTAGTTTACTGCAGGAAATTCAGCATCCAACTAAGGAAGTTTTATCACATCTCTCATTCAGTTACTGTTTCCTACATTTCAAATATACTGCGCTCTGTACAGCGGCTTTTTTTTTCTTTAATTTTGTTGCAAATCTTTCCGACTTAAACCAAACTTTGACTGGTAAATGTCATGAATCTCGGGCCAGGTTTAATTAGGAATTTTCTAAATCTATTAACAAAAGAGATGCACTTAATACATTATGTCAACCAGAGCTGGGCTTTCTTTAGCTATTTCTAGGGCTGCCATAGGCACAGCTTGAAACTTGCTTGGATTTTACATGGGTGCCGTATTTTATGTTGCATTAATTTAAAATGGTCTGTTTCACTTCATCAAGACTTTAGCTTAAGGATAATGCATTTATGTAAGATTAATCTTGCCATGTTGTTTTAGGATCAGGATTGTAAACTGCATTGTTCCGACAGTGATGTTCTAAATGTCATTTTAAAGCTTTTCTCAGGAGCTGCAGGCTCCCACTTATTCATGATGTTATCTTTAATTTCACTTGATTTTCAGAATATCCCTTCTATTTTTTCCACGTGGTAATTATTCATGAAAATTGGCTAAAAAACTAAAAGGAAGATGACAAGGGGAAGAGAAAGCCTTAGCTTTTGACAGACCTGCACAAGAATTCAGTTTTCCTTCTCCAAGCGGCCTCTATGACCTCCAACTTCAGCCCATTTGAAACTCTGGTCTAGCTCTGAATCCCTCTTGGCTAGCACAAAATTCCTCCTTTTGGAGGCCTCCTTCCCTCCATGTCCTTAACTGTTTCTGCGTTGCTCCATCAGACGCTATCACTTGTTCTTCTGGTCCGTCAGAGACCTTGCAGGGGCCCAAACAAGCAAACACACGTGATACTAATTCGAGGTAATGAGCGCCAGGAGGGCTTGCTGGACGCATTGTGAGTGGGAGCAGCGACGCAGGCGCGAAAAGGATAAGGCGAGGAGGTGAGAATGAGCTTTTCCCTCTCTCCTTCTTACAGGGGAGAGACCACACCAGCGCCGACGTCGCCCACACGCTGCCTCTCCGGAAGGGAACCTAGAGCCCTGGCGGAGGAGCCTGCACCCCGGCTGCCCTTCGACCGCATCCCCTGCCCCGTGGGGCAGCCCCCCGCGATGCCGGCGTTGGAGCATCCCTGTGAAGCATCCCCTTGCCTGTCACCACCGTGTAGGATTGGGAACAGCGCTGCACTCCGCTAGGAGGGGGGTGCCGCCGCGCTGTTAATCATTTTAAAATAAATGAAGATGCTCCGTGAGATATATATAAATTGACGTACTAATCAGTCCCATGGTTCCTTATTTCCTTTATAATAAACAGTGGAGTTGGCAAGCACTGTGGCAGCACAAGGCATCTATATTAATCAAGAGAAGTTTGAGACACTGGAAAAATTAAACTTTATGTGATTTGGACAGCATGAAGAAGTTAAGCACTGTAACAAAAACCTCCCTGATGCTCACAATGACTATTTGATACATTTGAAAAACAGCAGTGGATTTGAGGGCTGGAGAAGTATTAATTAATGAAACTGCCACTGCCTGTCATGCTGAAAAGCAAATTAAAAAAGAGAGAGAGAGAGAGGAAGAAGGGGGGGTGCGGGGAAAAGGTGGCATTCGGTGCTGAGAAAGCAATGCTTGATGAAGGATTAAAGGGACTAAAGAGAAAGACCGTCACTCTGCAATGGTTTGTTTCATTACAGTTTGGGGACCACTTGCATTTCTAGTGCTCTTGTTCTTGACTGCGCACCATTAATAGTATGTGAATATGGAAATTGAAACACTTCCACAGAAAAGCTTCTATTCTGCTTTGGAAAAGAAAAGCTAGTTGAACACTAAGAAAAAACAGGCTTCTGTGTTTTACTCTCAGGACCTTTTTTGTAACAGGGCTACTTTCTTCGACCTGATCACAAAGGAAGTCTTCATGTTAAAAAAATAAAAATTAAAAAAAAAAAACAACCCAACAAGCGCTCAGCTGTCTAACGCCGCTGATCTGTATGTTTCTAATGGAGAAGGTGGCATGGAGTACCTCGGCCCTGATGAAGGCACCGTAGGCTCCTGTGTTTTGTCCAGCAGGCCAGCTACTGGTCCTCCCTGGGCCTGGTGACGCTTCGAGAAGATGAATACCTTCTTTTGTGGTGGCAGGTTAATGTTCATATAATGTGTCATGTCTTGTATTTGGTGATCACTGGTGGTGTTAGGAAAAAAAAAAAAAAAGAAAAAAAAAGCTTTATATACCTCTTCTACAGTAACTCTTTAACTGCAAGTTTTCGAGGTGGGGTTGTGGCACATAACAGGTTGTTAAACCATGCAGTGTAAGCAATTAAAAATGTATTCCACAGATATAAATATTTTCTTTTCTTATTGCTGTGACACTATGTGTGATGGTAATATTTCTGAGAGTTTCAGATTTTGCACATATAATTTTATGCATTATCAAAAGTTACTGCTGCCTTGAAAGAAAATGTTCTGTGAAAATTTTTGCAAAAGCTTTACTAGTTTTTTTTCTTTTTTTTTTAAATTGTAACATTTTGTAAAGGCAGGAAATGGATTAAAAAAAAAACTAGCATGCTAAATATATTTTTCAAAAAAGCAATAATTTTACATGTACAGAAATGATGCTAACCTTTAATACAGGTGAGAGCAACAGTTTACTTAATACAATAATGGAATAGTGCTGTTTTTGTAGGGCTTCTGACACAAAGATTTGTTTAAAAAACAAAACAAAACAAAAAAAAGCTTGATCTTTCTGTTCTAACAGTTCTGGTTGGGGGAGGGTCTTTTTTAAAACAATCTAGTCAGTAATTGGTTCTGGATACTACTTGTTACTTGTTTTTAATTACTTGACAGTTTTTGTTACTTTGCAACACTTGCAACAATGCAAATTAACTTTCTTATGTATTTTTTAACTAGTTTTTCCTTATACTATTACACCAGATGTATACCAGAGTTCTCTGTAAGTCTTGGTGTAGGTAGGAATGTCTGTGCAAATGCTTAAAAGTGACTGTAATTAACTGTTCTGTGAAGTTATTTCGAGGGAGGTCGCATAGACACATTCCATTGTACACCAAAAAAAAAAAAAAAGAGAAAAAAAAAAAAAGAAATATTTTGCTGTGTTGCTTAATGATTATCATTTTGGGTTTGCACTAGCTTTTTTTTTTTTTTGTTTGTTTGTTCTTGTTTTTTTTGTTGCTTTTCTGGATCATATTCTTCATGAGTTCAGGAATGCACAAAGCTAGTTGCTTAGCCTATTTGTTTGTGTTTTAGTTATTAAAAACTCTTGTGTACCCAAAATGGCATGAAAGTGTAGTGTACATTTGTAGTCTCTCTTTCTTTTTTTTTTTTTTTATTTTTATTTTTTCAAGCTGATACAGAAGATCTTAGTTAATATTTAGAGCCAAAAGCTTCTTTCTGGAGCTTTTCTTCCAAATATCTGACAGAGAAGCTAGTGCTGTCACTGCCATTACCAGGGTACTAATCAGCAAAGTTTACAATCATAATTTAGCTACACGAAGAACAACAGTAGGGAAAATCAGTTTAAATAATTATATGCTGTGTATAGCACAGAAATGAGATTTTCACTTAATTAAGCAAGAAATAAGAGTGGGTGGGAGAAAGCCAACCTTAAAGACCATCTGTTTTCAGAAATGAATCCCATGATTTCTTTTTTCTTCTTTATTGTTGTATTGTATTGATTTGTTATTTTAGTTAGGCCTTAGTATTTAAATTGAGTTGTGTTCCTTATTTATTTAGTCAATGGGCTTTGATCAGCTCCTTTAAACAACGTGATAAGTTTTTTTTTTTGGCATGACACACTCCTGTAAAAGCCCTTTTATGACTGTTACAGGGACTTTCTACTACCTCTACCAATCTACTGTTTCTTCTTCTTAACAGGTTTTTATGGTGTTGCAAGTCTAATGTAACTTAGACAATAAAGGGTTTGATTATCTACACTGTAGATTCTCAGTGTATCTGCCATCTCTCTCTCTTTCTCTCTCACTCTCTCTCTGTTTTTGTGTGTTTCATTATAGCTAAAGTGCAGGTAAAAGAAAGACCTCTTTGCAATAATGTTTTTCTATCCCATACGTCCTGCGCTGACTGGAAGTTGAACTTGGAGAAACTTCTTCTGTAGGGATAATCAGCTACCACATTGTCATAATTCTGTTTGCATTCCTGAAGTTCTTTCTGTCAAAAATATTATGAATAAATCGTTACATAGTGCAAAATGGAAAGTGAATGAGCCAAAACAGTTTTAGTTTTGTATTTGAAAACCACTTAAAGCACTTAGTGAAAAGACTAAGCATAAATTGCCACCCCCATACTCTAGAAGACTGCTTACATGCAAACAGCTAGTTAAGACAATCATCCTCGGGAAGATAGCATCTTCCATTAGTGCAAAAAAAACCCTCTTCTGCTATTAACTGTTGGTTCAAAATCTGTTACTTGAGTGATTTCCAGGCTTTGACATCTTGTGGGTTCAGGATGACCTCTAAACATGTTGCCTTCTCCTGGTGCTGTGTGTCTTGGAGCGTACATCTGTTTGGCATGCTGGATACTTCAGAGTATGTATGATATTTTGAACCACTGTATGAAATCACGTCCTTCTAACGAGAAGGCATCCTCCTGTTTGCCTGGTTTCATACTTCATGGGTTCTTGACCAAGTCAGTAGGGTTTTTTCATTTTCTTTCCTTGCTGTACTCCTGTGTTAAGCTACTTAGAGTATACCTCAGCAGCTCCAACAGAATTGCTAGAATTCATTGGCACATTTTAGGATTTCTGCTTCAACAATCAATCCACGGTAGAAGACCTGGAACGAAGCAAGAGGTGACTATATTAGTTTTCTTCTATATAAAGTATGTTGGGTTAGAAGGAGGAAAGGTTGCATTTTATGTCAAATCAAATTTCCCGCTCATTCTGCAAGCCAGAACTTTAAGCCAGCAGTTTCATACAAAGCGCTGAGTTGTACAAAGTTGTCAGACAGTCACATATTTCAGTGCAATCCAATGCTCTGATGCAAAGCTTTCGTGGATTCACTTGGATCTTGGAGGTAAACACGTGTGTACTTAACCCAACATTTGGAGAGAAACTAAAAGGAAAGGGAATATGTTAATATAAATTTTTAAAAAATCCTTCAAATTTAGTTTTTCATTAATTCTATATTATGATTGCTTCTGGAACAGCTACGGGCATATAACAATTGAAAAATCATTGAAAGCATAGGTGTACTCCTCTGTTAGATGCTTTCTTTGGGGCTGTGGGCATGCTGGCATTGTTGAGAAGCATTTTAACCATCTATTGACAACCTTAGCTGTCTCAAGATAGGATGTAATCATTACAATTTTTTTAGAGTGTCATCTATATTTATTTTTCTTGATCTTCATTTGTGCTATTTTGGGGATAAAAAAAGAAAAACCCAACCCTAATCTCCCATCTGAAGTTGCCATTAGCTGGAGGCTGGTGGACAAAGGGCAAAGCATAGATGGGAGAAAAACCAACCAACCAAAACTGTTTGGACAATTATGGTGCTTTAAACAAGTATTGTTCCCAAATTGATCACCTATTACTTGATAAAATGAGGGGCACTTCTCCCACTGAGAGGGATGGGAAAGGATGTCATGTCAGGAGTAGGAAGCAGGCACAAATCAAGATCATTTGATTTTAGCTTGGGGTAAGGTATCAAGAACATGAGCATGACCCAGCTTTGTGGGTTTGAATATTGAAGTGGATGTTGCGTACAAGGCTATGGGAAAAAGAGATGGAGAAGGCATGTGAAAGTAGGGGGCTAACTTATGACCCTCTGAAGTTCAAGTAGATGGAAGGCAAAATCTGAGAAAGGCTAAAACTGAGGGTGGGACTAAGGAGGAGCCAGGAGTGCAACAAGAGGTTCATAGGAGAATCACCGAAGTCTTCAGTGTGCAAAGGTTGCCAAAAATGTTGCAGTTAACAGTGTGAGAAATAAGAGTTGTGGATATGGAGCTTCAGAAATTAATAACAAAATTTCAACTCAATGAATCATTCTGCAAAACTTTTGTGGTGTGAGCTTGAATGACAGAAAATAAGGGAATGCCTTTTTGGGTCTTTATTCTCTTGACTGGTAGGCGAACCACAGTTAGGAATATAATTATGAGTAGTTGAGGCTGGACTGAAGGGTGCAATACCCAGGGGGTTTTGAAAAGCATATTGCTCTTTTCAAGAAACAAGCAGACTCTGACTAGCCTCAAGCAGAATGAGAAAAAAAAAAAAAAAAAAGGAAAAAAAGGAAGGCAAGAAGGCATAGTGTTTTAAGCAGATGCTGAACTGCAGCAATCCTTTGAGGATGCTAGAGGGTACATTCAAATAGCATTCTCTAACATAACATATTTAAAGATGCCTCATAGTATGCTAGATAGAAGAACTGGGGATGCTCAAAGCTAATAAAAAGTACCCAATATTAAGATGGCTTCAAACACTTGGCTCTCTTTGAAATCCTTTCTATCACAAACTTCAGTTCTGGTGCATGTAAGATTGGTATGGATGGCTTGATTTGTTTGTTCCTATGTCATCAGCGTTATCTACAAAGGTGAGTTACTTTCAAGAGTTTAGAAAATGTGAAGTGCCCATGTTCCCCTTCTGTAAGTGAAAATCTGTGGCTTATTTCATCATCATCGTCCTAAGTATTACAGGGATCTTAGAAGATTTTTTCCAAGAGGAAAAAAAAAAATAAATAAATATATATATATATATATATATTCTAAGTGTGTTCTTTGTTCTGGTGTGATATAATAGAAAAAAAATATATATATATATGTATATATATATTCTAAGTATTCTTTGTTCTGGTATGATATAAAAGGAAAGGGGCACTGTCCCTGCAGTTCATTTTACTGCCAGGATCCAGCTTTCTTTTCTGGGACACAGCTATGTTGTGCCTTGCCTGGGACAATTAAGGAACCGCTGCTGCTTCCTGAGACCCGTGGCTTCCCAACAGAGTACTGGAGTGGTGTTCCGGAAAACATGCTTCTGCTAGGAATATCCCTCCATGACGGTAGGTCACAAACTCCATCTTTTCCTGCTTTTAGCGTGAGCTTTCAGGAGAGCAGTGCTGATTTCTGCAGGAAAACTAGGTGTGCTCTTCCAGGAGGGAGCCAGGGATGGGAGGTCGCTTCAGTCAGCTTGCCTAGGAGACTGCCGTGATACAGGACTGTTAAACAGTGCCTGCTTTGCTGCCTGCTGCTTCCCCAGCCTTGCCTTTTTCACACGTTCCTCTCCTTCCCACAAAGAGAGCACAGCCATACGTGGCTGCTTGCATGATGGAGGAGGTGACGCTTCCAGAGGAGCAGTGGGAACTTTCTGTCGACAATGAACCCACGTCAGGGGCTTGCTGAGAGTCTTGTCCCTTCTGCCAGGGGTTTCCTCTCCTTCCCCCCCACTGCCAAATGGCAGAGCAGTTGTGTGGCTGTGCTCCAAATAAGGCTCAAAAACCTGCTGCAAATATGGGAATTATTGTTTTCTTCCTCTTTTATTTTTCTTTTCAAGTAGAGCATACCTGGAGCGCATTATTGCGGAGTCAGTCTGAAGGAAGCCTGGCGCAGATGCAGTATTAAAGCACTTTTTATGTACCTTGGAGTGGCAGGCCTACTGGAAAGGCTCTGGGGCCCTTTGCAGTGGAGGACTTGTGAAAATTTGCTAATTAGAAGGAGGGATTATGTGGAAATTTGCTTCGGTGCTTGGTTCCTGGTTGTTCGCCATCCTTGCTTTGACAGGAGCCAGTGGCCCCCAGTACCTGAGCTGGGGACACGTGCCAGGTCTCCCTGGGCACATGGGTGTGAAGACTGAGACTTTGGCCAGTGATTTCTGGAGAGGCTCTTGGCAAGTTTGTCTTCACCGTCTGCAAGCGTAAGGGCTCCCTAGTGTTTATCTGGAGGTCATTCATGGGCAGGAGTGACATGCAGGAAGCCTGTGGGAACTTCCTGAGCTAGGCTGACCGCAGCGCTAGGGTTAAATCCAAGCAGACCCAAGGGAAATTCCAGTGAATTCACCATTTGTTATTGCTGAGGATAATCTGATGGATGATTTTATAGATCTGTTTCTTTGCTCAGCGTTGTACGTGATGTTTGACAAAGCAATTTGCCAGTTACAGTGTTCAGGGTAGCAGGAAGGACAGATAGTGAGCAAGTGTCAGAAATGACATAGGCTTTTCACCTGCTGCGGGAGATGCTGATGATTTACCTCCCAGCACACTGTTTACGGTCTACTCCATTTCCTACACTGCTGCTGGAAGTTTTAGTGAATTCAGGGTTAGGAACATCTAAGGAATTCCCTGCAAAGTTACTGAAGTCATTTTTACTTTTTTTCTCCTTCATGAGCACAAGATGTGAGAAATTAGGTGGCTTTTAAGGTGAGGTGAGGAGAAGGGGAATAGTTCAAGCAGCAGCAGTGCTGCTGTCCTAAACTGCTACTTTTTCTGAGCACGACACTAAATTATTTGGTAACTGGGTTCTTTCTTCTTTGCATTGGTTCTGTTAAATAAACAGTGACTTTAAAATGAGACACAGCTGGAGACACCATTAAACCCGCTTGAATTTTGCTTCCTGGGTTGTATTTTCTAAGTATTTTGCCGAAAGTGAGTCTTTATTAAGACTTTGTGAGCTTTTAGAAGAAGACAAGCTCATAAGTTTAGAGAATTATTTTGGTTGTAGCAAGAGCTGCAGTGCTTCAGGAATTTGAACTTGCAGGAATTAGGTGGCATGGGAAGAAGCATCATGGCTGTAAACCTGCTTAATTTTTGATTTGGCCACAGTGGCACTGAAGCTGGTTTGGTAGATGTGGCTCCAGGGAGTACAGGTGCCTTGCAGTGACCCCTCTGATGAATATTCTTACTACATTTGGCAGAATATTATTTTTTTTGTAAGATTGCACTTTCCATTATTAGATAAAAGGCCTGTTAGGTAGGTGTCTGTCTGTGCCAGGCACTGTAT